ATCCGGAACTCGTCGGCTTATTCGTAAGTGGTAAAATGGATACCTATGGTAACTTGTGAAATAATTTTTTTTAGGGAAGGCTGAACTTTTATTTAACAATATTTAATTCCACAAGTCATCGAACTGCCTTGACAAAACACTTAGATTTTGAAATAATGCCTAGTATTTTTATAGCACCGCCGAATCTGTTTCTTATTTGGAACTGGTCAAATAACTGTACCATCAAAATTCATGCAATCTTTAAAAATCTTATTTTCTTCTGGACATTAAACAGTCAATCTGTTGACATGATTGTCATTCTGTAAAAGAATTCATGGCCCCAGGGTCAGGATTCCTAGTGCTAGAGTGGATTTTTAAGGATCATATAGTAAAAATGCATTATCTACTTGAAAATCTTCGCTTCTACTAGGTATTCAGTCAATTAACTACGTTATTAAACAAACTAAGTACATGTTCATAGTTATAATGGGCCCAGGGTCAGGGCTCCCGGATTTAGGGAGGGGGTCTAATGATTATATAATTTAGTAAAACATTTTATTTTCAAGAAAATATTTTCCTCTGCTCTGGGTATTACGCCGATGAACTACACACATAGTTAAGATGAAGAAGATTGCCTCTTATAAAATTGTGAATTTCATGTCCGGTCTGGTTCATGCAGAGCATCTGCTGATTGGGCGGGACTCTAATGATAATATATACTTAAATTAAATCTATGGAGAGAACGATCATAGGCATTTATGCCTGATGTTCAATCCATTTCTATGAATAAAAATGTATTCTAAACTTAATTATATTATTTATTTAAAAATCTTCTTCTCTGCTCCTAGGTATTAAGCCAATGAATTCAGGTCATGGTTATGATGAAAATGAGTGTCTTTAGCAAAATTATTAATTTCCTGCCCCTGAGTCAGGGGTTCTGGTGTTAGACTTGGGCTCTAATGATTATATAGGAACATGCATTAGATGTATAAAAATCTTCTTCTCTGCTCCTGGGTATTAAGCCATGAAATAAGTGTTATGAAGAGTAAAGAAATGATTTCAAAAATTGTTAAAGGTGTGGCCTGAGGGTTAGGATACTCGGTATAAACTTTTTTGATCATTAAGTGAAAATGCACCATTGCTTTGAAAATCTTGTCTGATCCTGAGTATAAAGCAAACAAACTAAATGCATTACTATAAATTTGCATGTATAAATATAAATAAAATATGTCTTTTTCATGCTCCTTGCTATCTAGGGGTCAGGGTTTAAAATTACATTAAAATAATAAGAAAATGAATTACTCCCCCCTTCCTTTTTTTTTTATTAAAACACAACAAAATTGTCACTTTTCCTAAGTATTAAGAATAATATTAAAATTTGTGAAGGTGCAAAGATGTGTCAATCAAACCTAATCAAAAATTTGTAGTTTCAATAACTTTTAGTTTTTTTCTCCGAGAGGAATGCGTCTCATGTTTAAAGTCATTATTTATCGTTTGGTCAGCTAGCGCATGCAGAAAGCAAAATTACCTTATATAATTTCATATTATTAGTAACATCACATTGCAAGGATTTTATCTAACATTAGAGGAGTTACTTTAAATTATACACACATAGCACATAGTACATCCATAAATCCTTTTTAGCATAAATACATTACTTGTTCAATGTGGTATTCTAAACAGATATTGAATAGTCCATTTGTTCAATTAAAAACATGAAATGTATACGCGTTTATCTATGTTTTCCATATTTGCATGTCTGTTCTGGATCATTGTTTAGCAGAAGCCCTCCACATAGTAGCCAGGTTATAACCATAACAGGTTTATTTGCTTTATTTTCCCCAACATTTGACAAGTCCTCAAGTTTTTCTATTGGCGTCACAATGTGCAGAAAATGACGTCAAAGTCGCGGTATAGGGACTTCTAATATTTTGCATTCACGCGATGATTGTAGATAAAATATTTTTAGGTGTTCAAAAAATATCAATTTTAAAAAAACATAATGTGGAAAACTTATATAAATAACATTGTTATTATTTAACGTAAGTCCATAGGCTTTTAAGCTTCCATGTACGCATTTTTCCGTGAGTTATATATTGTCGGGTATATAGCGAGTGTTTTTGTCTATGTGTACAATAACATAATTATATCCAAAATGGTGAATATTTCCAAGAAGGATAATTAAGTAGAATATACGGTGTAATATTATCAAAGGAATGTGATTGATTTGTTGGTAAACAGTGAAATGAACTTGCAAATGACATCTGTGTCAGGACTGGCAAAAGTTAATTTGATACATGTACCCCAGTCGGGATGTAGGGATAAACTGCGATTTTAAAGAATATTTCATGACTGCCCATCCCCCCATCCAAATATTTTCTTCGCCAGGACTTCAATAACACAAAACGTGCTTAGATTAGGTAAATATTATTTGCCTTTTATTTTTATAATGCGAGTTTGAATGATATTTATTATTTTATATTGAATATATATAAAATATATTCACCATTACAGTACAAATTGCACTCCAACCCCCCCCCCCCCCTTTAAAAACTAGAACTACTTTAACACTGAGCTCGCTAAATGATGTCCACTGGTGGAATAAGATTCTTCCGGAATACCAACATACCCTCCCCCCTTTTGTGTCAAAAATATACTAAAGATTTAATATCTTTGCAAAACAATGGGAAAGGAGGCTAAGTCCTCACCAGTTAACATTTGGTTCCGACGCCTGTTTCTCTAATAACAAATACTTCAATGTCTCCATTTTGTTTTATTTGTTCCGATAAATTACTTCTTGAAATTGAATCTGCATCTTAATTTGAAAATATATTAGTTTATTGTCTATGAGTTTATATGACCATTCCCCTTAAAATCATTTCAACTACTTGAATGTAATAATCTTAATATTACATTGCTGCAATGCAAAGCGTTACATTGCAAGCCTTTATGATATTAATGAGGCGTTTTCCCTTGATTTTAGGATAGTACATACAATATTTTTTTTTAAAAATCGAAAGATGGGGGTTGGAGTTGGGTGCAAACACCCGAGGCGCAGGCCCTGGATCTGCTTTGGATTAAGCGGTGTTTTTGCATTAGAAGTGTAACGTTTTCGGGTTCTTTTATGGGATTCGGCTGTTCTATCTGAACAATTAAAGAATAAATCAATTTTCTCAATCACAAATTTAAATTAATAGTATGTACAATTATTCCTTCGTTTCTCTGGAGCGCACGCGCCTTCCAAGGACTGAAGCGCGTCCGCTTCTTACCTTCAGTCAAACCAGAATATCAGGTACTTTATCTAAATAATATATAATCAATCAAAGTCTCGAAAGTCTATTTCAGACACATAGGACTTGATTCAAGGTATTCCTTGCAGTACCTACCACGTTTGACTTCTCTGTATACAACCGTCTTTCCAATTCGGCTGTCAACAACAGACTAACTAAAACAACCGATTGTCTCCGTATTTATACCTACAACAGGTCACATGACCTGCAATGAACCTAAAGGAAACAAGAAATCGGAAGTCAGTGCGACTACCGAGAAATGAAAGGATAATATGATCTCGATTACAGTTTTTGCTTCACTTCTCACGCCTCCAGGAAATGCGTCTCGCATTCCTAAATAAAGAAAAACTAAAGGCGTACAATTTTACATATGTTCATTATTATTTATACCATGCAATAGTCTTCCTGACTATGTGCATATCCCATAAAGATTTGAAAGATACTAAGCTCTCTGCTTAAATTTACAATGTTATTGTGCCATAGCTACAGTTTTAACCACTAAAACCAGAGTTCTTCCTCATGGTCTACACTAATCTATAGTTGTCCTGAGAGCTTATAATTTGTATTCAACAATGAAGTCGTCATGCCACGCAGGTGCATTTCTAATGCGCCTTAGCCTATCTGAAGCACAACTGCTTGGGTTTTCCCTAACATCATACTGATCTTCATTTTCTTCTACAAGACACTCTTGAGTATCATCTGCATTGTTTTGACTCGAGAAATTACTGATATCATTCTCTCTTTGAAGTATCTGTGACTTACACTTCCGCAAGCGATCACAGTGGATGATAGTGCTTTTGCATTTTGTTCCGCATGCAACCTCATATAAAACATTTGACAATTTGTCTTCAATTAAGAAAGGCCCTCTCCAAAATGATATTAACTTCGGAGAACAGCCGCTCTTTCTGGTATAGAAAAATACATAAACTCTTTCTCCGGGACTAAAGGATGACCATGCTAGTTTGGTATCATGGTACCTTTTCTGGCGCTGCATTTCACCTTGAATGTTTTCTCTGACCAACTTATGAGCTGACTCTAATCGTTCACGCAACACCAAAACCCATTGACTTGTTGGAATATCCTTAATACCTGGAGGCATTTCATACATCAACTCTAATGGGGTAGTTGCTTCTCGTCCCAACATAAGCATGTTTGGCGAGAAATTAGTGGTGGTATGTTCTGTAGAACGATATGCCATAAGTATATACGGAAGATGCAAATCCCAGTCACGTTGATTTTCCTGAACGTAAGTGCTTAACATAGAGAACAATGTGCGGTTAAAGCGCTCCACCGTCGGTCTGACTTCGGGTGATAGGGTGTTGTACGGGTCTTTTTAATCCCAAGTAACCGACACATCTCTTGAAAGAGCTTGCTCTAATATTGTTGACCTTGGTCCGAATGAATGGTAAAGGGGATACCAAATCTGACAAATACCTGTTCTACCATAGTGCGTCCAATCGTCTCAGCTTCCATATTTGGCAGAGCGAATGCCTCTGTCCACTTGGTGAAATAGTCTTACACAACTAAAATGTGGCGATTTCCTCTATCAGTCTAAGGTAGCTCACACAGTATATCTGTGGCAATTCTTTCCATTGGCATACCTGATCCGGTAATCTGCATTGGGGCCCTATGTTTAGGGTTTGGATTTTTACGTCTCGTACACTTGTCACAACCTGTAACATACTGGTAGACGTCTTTTTGAAATCCAGGCCAGTAATATCTCTGTCGTATCTAAGCTATCGTTTTGTTCACCCCCAAGTGTCCTGACGTCTGGTTATCATGACACATTTCCAAGACGCGTCTGCGCTCTTGGTCTGGTATGATAGCTTGATGAACTTCTTTGTTGGGACGAAGCAGAGTCCACTTGCGCATGAGCAATCCATTCTCTATTGCAAGTCTAGAAAACTGATTCCACAAAGACTTCACTACGTAGCCATGCATAGACATATCGCTGAAACTTGGTCGCTTACCTTTCTCGACCCATGTTTTTACAAGCTTAATGTCTCTACACTGCTCCTGAGCCTCTTGCAGACTATAATCCATCTCTTCACTTTTTATATCCGATGACTGTAAAGTTCGTACAGCTGGTTCAACTTTCATATCATACTCAGCATTTTCCAATGATGAAGCATCAAACCCACACTGAGCGCAAGTTATTCTGCTCAGCGCGTCCGCATAACCATGCTTTTTACCGGGTCTGTGTTCTATTTTCATATCATAGGTACTGATCACTTCCAACCACCTTGCCAACTGACCCTCTGGGTTTTTGAATCTTAAAAGCCATCTCAAAGACCCATGGTCCGTTCTAATAAGAAACTGTTTACCATAAAGGTAGTGGCGGTAATGCTTAATAAAATGGACAATGGCCAAAAGTTCTTTCCGGGTCACACAATATTTCCTCTCTGACTTGGACAATGTACGGCTAGCATATGCTATAACACGTTCTTTACCATCAATATTTTGAGATAATACCGCACCGATCGCTTCGTTGCTAGCGTCGGTATCCAGAATGAATGGCTTCGTTACATCTGGTAGAGCTTATACTGGCGCAGTTATCAGTTTGTTGCGCAGCACTTCGAATGCTTCTTGGGCTTTTTTACCCCACAGAAACTTCCTTCCCTTTTCTGTGAGTCGATGCAATGGTTTGGCAACTGATGCAAAATTCTTTATAAAGCGCCGGTAATAACTACAAAGACCTAGGAAAGATCTTAACTCTGTCACAGTATTTGGAATTGGCCACTCAGCTACTGCTTTCACTTTCTCTGGGTCGGTTGCAATTCTGTCTTTGGAAATGATGTGTCCCAGATAGGATACCTTGCTAGCAAAAAAATTGCATTTCTTGGCCTTTAACTTTAAGCCAGCCTGATGCAATCTCTGAAAAACATGTTGCAGGTTTTCAAGCATATCATCAAATGATTTGCCTACACCAATAATGTCATCAAGGTATACTAAACACTTATCCCATTGGAGTCCTGCAAGAACGGTTTCCATAAGTCTCTCAAACGTTGCAGACGCTCAGCATAAGCCAAAGGGCATAACCTTGAATTGGAATAAACCTTGTCGTGTCACAAATGCAGTCTTCGGCTTGTCGCTCTCCTCCATACTAACCTGCCAGTAACTACTGTTCAGATCAAGCGTAGAAAACATCTTGTGTCCTGATAAGTGGTCAAAAGCCTCATCAATTTTTGGAAGAGGATAAGCGTCCTTTGTGGTCACCTCATTTAATCGACGGTAGTCTACACAAAAGCGCATTGTGCCGTCTTTCTTGCGTACAAGAACTACTGGCGATGCCCAGGTTGAAGGTTCTATTACATCCTTCTCGAGCATTTCCTTAACCTGTGCATCTACCTCATAAGTTAGATGAATCGGAATTCGCCTAGGACCTTGCTTGATAGGTTGTTTAGCCTGCTCCATGTTTATCTTGTGGCGCACCACACTGGTCTAAGTCATAATTAGAAGTTGCGAACAAAAACTGATTTTTTCGTAGGAAGTTCTCAACTTTTGTCACTTGCTCTGAAAATAGATTTCCTTTACATCTGTCTAACAAATCTTTCAGATCACCTCTTAGCTCTTTGGTTAAACCCTGAGGATAAAATGGGGATTTTGGTCTCTCCTCAACAGCTGTCATTTTCCCAATCAGAGTTCCTCGAAAAATCTGTTGCATATCATTAGTGACATTCATTTAGCAAACTGGTATCTTATCGCTACCTTTAACGAGAGTGCGTCCTACTAGCGCACGCCCTTTCTCAATAAATTTTCGTTCTGGTTCCACTAAGTAATCCGCTCCTCCATAGTTATTATTTCCCGTAACATTGGCAGAAATAATTATTTCACTCCTCGGTGGTATGCAAATATCACTGGCTGCAGTGACTCTGTAACAACCTAGTGTGCCTTCCCAGGAAAATGGGCATGTCTCATAATTCAATCGCAGCAAACTCTCTTGAAGATCTTTCAGCCCATTGTATTTCTTGAGAAAATCAAGTCCAATAATTCCGTCCACAGAAATATCTGCAACAACTGCATCAATAAATCTATCTGACTCACCAATCTTGAGAGAAAATGTTGCTTTACCATACTGGGACAGAACAGAACCACTAGCATTGAATATTCGTTGTGCGTTCTCCTTGTGCACAGGTTTTTCCTCCTGCAATGTATCAAACAATCTCTATGAAATAAAAGTAAGGGATGCTCCAGTGTCAATCAAGAGTTTTGCACTGCTCCCATTCACATTTCCCTGAATGAAGATACCTGCTTCCTCGCACAAATTGTTTGCGCCAACATTGCCATTGCTTTTACATTTTCTCTTTCTTTTACGTCTACTGCGCACTTGAAATGCGCTTCCGCCATCTGACTTTGATTCATGTCGCCGCATATCCTTTTCTTTGTCTTGAGCTTTGTTCTTCAACTTTGGGCAATTCTTCCGAATGTGTCCTTCCTCTGAGCAGTAGTAACATTTTACCCTGTTCCGCTTGCCTTCCTTCTGAAAAGAATCTCTGCTGAATCTTGCATTTGCCTTAATCTGCCTCTCCAGATTATCTATTTTATTCTGCATTTTCTGCATCAGCGCTTTTAAATCTCCAGACTCGGAAGCTTGAGCTCGTGCTTGTCCCTGACTTTCAGTTTCGCGCATATGACTTCTTTTCTCGGTCTTATAGTAGGCGTCAAGTTTTTTTTTTTTTTTTAATTTATTTATTTTAAATTCTTCATACAAACAAACAGTGAAATATATATATAACAGACAAATTACATTACAAACAATATGACAATATTACCTTCAGACAATTTTATGCAAAATTTTTAAAAAGTTTGTAGTCAAGTGATTTCAAATTTTTTAGAATGGAAGCATAGAAAAAAATTGAAGATTTAACGTGATTAAAGATGTTATAACTAGTTTCATCTAAGGAATGTATTCGACAGTACATCTTATATTTGTAAATCCTACAGGCAACATATGAGATGAGTGTGTTGAGTGATACAATTTTTCTATTGCGCTCAGAGCTAAATCCAATTATTACATGTTTCCATTTGATATCTATTTTCAGGTACAAACTTAATCTATTCCAAATTTCACCAACATTTTTACATTCAAAAATGAGATGTTTTGAAGTTTCATTCACGTGGCATAATTTGCAATTACTACTCGTTTCTTTTTTCCATTTACTGAGATACAAGTTATTACAAAGAATATTGTTTAAAAGTTTATAGTTGAATTCTGTAAGTTGTTTATCGGGTATGTCATATAATTTACATTGATATATATTTTTCCATTCTGAAGGTTCGACTGAATTCGTTGCTTAAAACTATTTGATAACATGGTTTACAAAATTTTCTGTGTACAAGATTGTCATAAAAAAAGTTACATCTTTGATCTATGATATTAACCTGTCCTGTGTAGAAAAGAAAATAATTTTTGTATCTTATGTTAACAAACTTACAATTTGAAAAATCATACTTTAGTAGCAAAGGTTTGAAAACAGAAGAAAGAATTTTAAATTCACACAACAATTAGAAAAATCTAACAATGATTTAAAATTACCATCATCGTCAAATAAGTCTTTAACATGCAAAATCCCACTGGCTATCCAGTTTTTAAAAAATAATGTATTTCCCCTATAAACAAAGTTACAATTGTTCCATATCGGCTGTCGAAGAACATTATCGGAAGACATTTTGTTCAAAAAACAGGGCTTACATTCATTAAAGCAACATAACATTTGTTGATAAAATTTAGGTAGTTTCTCTAATTTTTCCATATTTTCTACTTTTCTATCAGAAAAATCTAACACATAGAGAACTTCAAAATTTGATTTTTTACAATAACCATCAAAAATTTTGTACAAAATACCTTTGCTTTTTAACAATCTAGGTACCCAAGCTGCTTTTAAGGCTTTTAATTTACATTCAATATCAACGATTGAGAGTCCACCTTTTAAAATTCTACCTATAAGCGTGTTTCTTTTAATTCGTTCATTTTTATCCCAAATGAAGTTATAAATTAGACGTTGTATTTTTTTAATGTAAGCATTATCAGGAAGACTTAGTATTGAGGCAACGTATGTAAGTTTAGATATAGCAAGTGTCTTAACTATACATGATTTACCAAATAGCGTTAGTTTTCTTCTTTTCCAAGATTCAAAAAGTTTTTCAATATCGTGATAAATTTTCATCCAGTTTTTATTGTAACATTCTTCCTTATCATGCCCTATGAATATTCCCAAACATCTTACTGCTTTATTCTTAATTTTTATACCGTAGAGTTCATCATATAAATTTCTTAGTTCCCCTAATAAAATGCATTCTGTCTTATGCATGTTTACTTTTGAACCCGCATGTTCACAGAATTCTTGTAATTTATCCAGAGTTCGCTTCATTGATATTTCGTCTTTTAAAGCTACAGTCAAATCGTCTGCATGTTGGATGTTTTTGATTTCATAATTATTAATTGTAATGCCTTTTATATCAGTATCACATTTTATTTTAATAGCCAAAATTTCTGCGACGAATAGGTACAAGAGAGCGGAAATAGGACAGCCTTGCCTAATTCCTCGCGTCATTTCGCTTGTTTTAGAAAGCCAGCCGTTGTTTTTCATTTTAAACATTGGATTTGTATATAAAATTTTTGCCCACTTTATAAAACTATTGCCAATATTAAATTTTTGTAAGACTTGGAAAAGAAAGTTCCATTCAACCGAGTCAAATGCTTTTTCAAAGTCTAAGAAAAGTAATATACCATCTGAATTTTCACTTTCACAGTATTCAAAAACGTCAAGTACTAATCTAGCATTTTCACCGATATATCTCCCTTTTATGTAAGCCGTTTGATTTTCGTTAATCAACTTATATAGTATATTTTGTAATCTCTTTGCAAAGACAAAGGCAATAATTTTATAATCTGTATTTGTTAAGCTTATCGGTCTATAGTTTTTTAAATTATCTTTTTCACCCTTTTTGTGGATCAGTGATATAATAGAAAGTTTCTGTGTGTAAGACAATTCACCTTTATCAAAAATATCATTAAGTGCTTTATAAAAGAAAGGCCCAAGTGTTTCCCAAAAACATTGATAAAATTCACTAGGAAGGCCATCTAGTCCAGGTGATTTTTCTTTTTTCATGCTATCAACAGCTTCCTTGCACTCTTCATATGTTGGAAATTTTTCTAACAATATCTTATCTTCTTCACTTAATTTAGGGATATCGTCTATCTCAGATAAATATTTTTCTATTTTTTCGTTTTAAATTTCTTTACTAGTATATAGTTCGCTATAAAAAGAATACATTTCACCTAAAATGGCATTAGTTTTACTGATTTTATTTCCTTCTCTTGTTTTTATTTCTTTAATTACGTTTGATGATTGATTGCGTTTTTCTAAATTTAAAAAGAATTTTGAATTTTTCTCCCCCTCCTCTATCCATTTAATTTTAGACCTTATCTGCGCACCTTTAGATTTTTTGTCATAAATAGCGTCAAGTTCCGCTTCTAAAGTTTTCAGTCTTTTGTAATTAAAATTTTCTACGTTTCCTTTCTCCATATCTTCTATTTCGCGTTCTAGTGTTCTTATCTTTTGTTTAATTGATTTTTGTTCATTTTTTGCAAAATAAATCGAGAAATCTTTAACCTTTCGTTTAATTAACTCCCATGTCAAAATAGGGCTTAAAGAGGAATTTATACTATGAATAATGTCTAAGATACCTTTTTTATATTTTTCATTGTCGAGATAGGAAACGTTAAGTTTCCAATATCCGGGACCTTTTTTCGTTTTATCGATATCAAAACTAAATTTTAAGTATCTATGGTCACTCATTCGACTCCCGTTTGAATGAGTGCCTGGAATTTTTCTAACCTTGATATCTGCTATGCTATAATAAAAAGAATCATTTATAAAAACATAATCTATTCGACTTTTAGGATCATTTTTTGCATCACACCAAGTGAAACCTGACATACCTGGATTTTGTTTTTTCCATATATCATCCATGTTATAATGCCTTATCAAATCTTTTAAATAATTTGCACTTTTATCTACATTATTAATATTGTTTATCTGGCAATTAAAGTCTCCACATAGTATAATATTTTCGTTGACACAATTTTTTGAAATAAAGTTCTTAAGTTTTTTTGAAAAATTCACACCTCTTTTTAATTTCATTAGGTGCATATATATTTACTATTGTAAGAATATTACCCTCGATTTCAAGATTTATCAGAATTTTCCTACCATCAATAGACTTTTTGACATTTATTATGTTAACATCTATTTTTGCGTTAAACAGAACAGACACGCCTCTACTGAATGCAGAGTCGCTATATGCGTGAAATGTTTTTCCTCTCCAGTTTAAATTATATACAGATTCATTTTTTTCTAAAAAATGTGTTTCTTGCAACAGAATGATATCTATATTACATTCTTTCAACCATGTAAAAATTTTTCGTCTTTTTTCGGGGGTATTTAAACCCCTTACATTAACTGAGATAAATTCTAATTTTTCCATAAGAATTAATATTCAAATGCATATATTTGTTATAGAAAAAAATACCGTAACTTTTCATTCCAGTCCGCTGATCGAGAATCAAAGTCCTGCGACGTTCGAGCATTACACAGTTTTTGATTTATTTGTCCTTCTTAGCCGGGTCGTCTGAATCAGAGTCCGATGATTCATCAAAACCTGACATGGATTCAGAATCCGATTGATTCCTTAAAGCATGTAACATCTGTGCAATGTCTCGCTGTTTGGTGTTAACTTTCGGTTTTTGTTTCTGTTTTGGTTTGCTCCACTGGTCACTTTTTTTTCGTTTCCGTATTTTTTTGCCGATTTTACTGATAATTTTGCCAAGAAGGTTTTTTCCAGGCCAGGAATCAATTTTGGTGTTCTCCGTACCTTTTTTATCCAAACCAGTGCCCCATATGTCATTGTAGGTTGATTCGGCGAATATAATGTCCTTCTTAACCGATCTTAATTTTTCCCGAAACATTGGGACTTGTACACATTTATTTTCGATTATTTCGGTCATGGCTGTTTCCCTGGTCTCAAACCATTGCTCGTTGGGTTTGACCTTGTCGCCATACCGTTTGGCTGATAGGGCATCTCTGGCCTCCTGAACCAGTTTGGCTGACTCGAGATCGCCACATCTAACGGCCTTTGTGTATTGGAAGGCGTGTTCCGCAGATTTATGCGTTATTCCATAAATATTTAATTCACAAGGGAAAAAATTAGAAAGCACGTTGTCTTCTCCGTTAAAGGCAATAACGTTTTCTTGGACTTGATAATACGCGCACTTTTCATCCCCTGGCTGGTGCCCTTCCTGTTTACACACTTTACAACGTGGGGCGTTATTACAGTACCTCCTGGTATGATCTGTCGCCCAGCATTTAGTACATGTGAGTTTCCTCTGGGATTTAGGCTGACCGTAATGGAAAATCTGACAGCGCAGGCCCGCACAGTAGTTGATCCTGGGAAGATACTTTTCTTCGGGTAAAGGCTCAATGTAAATAAACCGATTCCCGTTTAGTACACTAGTCATCCTATTTGTAACCGGGTGGCGAATTTTCTCGTATAGAATATTACTTTTAGGCTTGACTTCAAGTTTTTCCAGTAATTCATGAACAGCTGAATCGTCTACAGATAGGGGAA